TCTTTGTTTGTGACGTGTTCTGTCCACGATATTTTCTGAATTCTTCTGTACACCCACAGCTCGAATGATTCCAGTTTCTTCATTGATTTCGCATTCAAGGTCCAAGATATTCCATTCCATTCCATAAAATAAAGTCGTAAAATAAAATAAATAATACATCTTTGCCTACTGTTTTTTAGTTGTGTGTAATAAGTTTACCGTTATCTTTGAGTATTTTACAATGCACTCGTTTTTATTATTTTTTAATTTCTTTATTTTTTTCTGTATATTAAACCTGTCGTATTTTCTATCATACTGTTTGATTTCAACCCGTTGATCTGTTAACTTTTCTTTGGCCTCCTTTATCTTTACTCTTATTATTTTGTTGTTCTTTGTCTATTTTAATTCGTTTCTGTGCTTAACATTTCTATCTTCTTTCATAAGTGTTAAAATCTGAAGGCATCCACTTCTGTTTTGTACTTTTGCAGTAAAGCTTATTTTCTTGTCGTTAGCAGTACTTTTTGTATGTTGTATCACTATTCATCGACATTTTCAGATGTTAATCTTACTTCCTTTACTTCATTCAGATTTGTATTAACTTGTCTTAATTTTTTATGGATCGCGGTGACTCTTGTCATTAAGAATATTTGAACTGCCAAACGAATGAAAACAATAACTTTTTAAAAAATGTTTTGTTTTCCGATGAATCTTCATTCACAATCCATGACCGTCATCATGCATCTGTCGTCCGCTATTGGTCTAGGGAAAATAAACATTTTAGTATTGCTGTGAAAACACAGTAGACGCAGTACCTTGTGAAATATTAGGTAACTGAGGATACCTCTGATTAAATAAGTTTGCTACTTCAACTTGACTTCTACAATTCTCCCCGTAACCGATCATCATTAAAATCTCAATTCGGTGGGCCTTAGTTAAATATTTCAGTTTTATTTCTGCAAGAAATTAGTTTTTAATTAAGAATTTATTATTTTAATGTAAAATATCAACAGCATGTCAACTGATTGATAACAATCCGCATTATTTACCGATTTAGTTTAATTAGCAGATAATTTAAATCTATACAGTTTTTACCTATTCACGACAAAAAATGTTACTAAACACGGTTACTAAACAGAAATTTTCCCCAATATACAGTGTACTGACACTTAGAGTAGAAGTCTATCGTCTGTATTTAGCTAATTTAAAATAATACCATAACACGTGATAAATTATTAATTTCAAAATTTCACCTTGTATTATTCATTATAGACCCTACATGATATAGTTAATTGAAATCAGGTTGTTAAAAGTATTTTAAAAACATAAAAATATACAGGGTGTTTAATTAAAAATAAGGATTATGGACCATGCCAGACTTGCGTGGATTACCCTGTATATTTAAACTTATATTTAAAAAGCGCACATTTAAATTTTTTTTTATAATAAGGACACAAACAATTTTATTCCATAAGTGGTTTCAACACTATATATATATATATATATATATATATATATATATATATATATATATATATATATATATATATAAAGAGAAATCTACCTCAGGACTCCATTATCTTGATCATTTTGTTTATTTAGTTGTTTTCAGAATAAATTATTGACTCTTTTTACTATTTCTAAAAGTGGCACTTTTAACAGCGTTTCAAAGTGAATGTTTTTTGAGCAAAGCCAATTTTGAATATGCCTTTTGGTAGTCATAATGGGAATTTTTTCCAATTTTCTGGAATGGCAAGAGGCATTGTCCATCACAATTACGGCATTTTTTCCAGTATTGGTAAAATTTTTTGGTGCCAACTTTCAAATGACTTTCCATCCATTTCCTCATGATAGTCTCCACCTTTTCCTAAAAGTGATATCAAAGATAATAATACAAAAATTCAAAGTTTATTTTAATTTAAATTACCTCTAGTGATTTTTTAAGCCTGTCGACAGCCCATCCAAAAATGCACGTCTGGCAGAATTCATAGAAACATCCACCCAAAGTTTTGATTTTGTACGACCAGCATTTATCCATGTTTCGTCCAAGTAATAAATTGTTCTATTTTCAGCTCTACCTTTTTTTATCTTTTGCAGATAATCTTTTCGCCACAGCACAATTTCATTTCTGTCGAGTAATAAACGGTTTCTTCTGAGTTTTTGAAATTTAAAATTTAATTTTCGTAAGAATTTGTAAAACGTGATTCTCGGTACGCCATTATCATTATTTATATCTCTTAGAACTTTGTCAATTGTAGGAACTTTATTACGGAAGAAATATTCATGAACATTTCTTTTTGTAGCTGACTTATCAAAATCATCTACAACATCTGTTGATTTTGAACGATTTTGATTTGTTTTAGGTGCAGATAATGTACTGTTATACTCTTTAATGACATTGAAGACAATTTTCGAACAAACCCCAACTTTTTCTGCAACTTTTTGTTGAATGTCCGTTAAGACTAAAGTAGGATTATCTTATCTTATAGCAGAGGAATAAAATGTCGAACTGCTTCGATCTGTTTAATGGATAAAAATTATGTTATATGTAATTTATTACGTTAAAAATTCTAAAAAAAGAAGGGGTTTGTCACGACTATAATTAATTAATACTTAAAAAATGACTTCCTTTTATTTGTAATTTCGTTAAAAAAAAATTCGACCCGGGCAGATATTATTTTAGATATTTTGTATCATTCGAAACATAAAAGGTCTTTTGTAATTTTTCTTTTATGCTGATGGTTTTCGACATAAACAATTTAATACTAAAAACGACAACTGACGATTTTTAAAGCTCAAAAAGACCAGTAAAAATATAAATATTTTTTTTGTAATCGTCAAGTACATAAATTCATAAACCTTCTTTTATCAGGTACCGGAGAAAAATTTTGCCATGTTTTCTAAAATATATTTTTTTTATTTGTTAAGTAGGAAGGTTCCTTATCGGGAAGGGAGATCAGGCTGCATTAACAACTAAAAAACAATATTTCAAAATTTGAAATAAGTTCAAAATACTTATCAAAAACTGATTGAGTAAGGTTTTATTTTTAATTTAGGTACTTTGTAATTTCAAAAATGATATTTTTTAAATATCTTTCAAATTTGAAAAATCGTTATCTTTCGTTGTTTTTTTAGTTTTAAATTGTTTATAACGCGAAAACTATACAATTTAAGACTTTTTGTTTCGAACGCACCCCAAAATCTAAAATAATATCCGCCCGTGTCGATTTTTTTTATTTATACAAAAAAAGTTATTTTTTAATTAATAATTATTAGTCAGGAAAAAATTATATCCATATTATATCGGACACACCTTGTTTTTAATAACTTTTAACATACTAAATTACATATCAAATAATTTTTATTCAATAAACATACAGTGCAGATCGATCTTATATCGTATCTTAGGTTATTATAAATGTATGTTAGGTTATTATAATAGTATATTACATAACGAGAGTTGTAAGAAGCTTATTACATGCGAGTAAAAAAGTTGCGCGCGAGCCGCGTAGCGGCAAGCGCAGTAATTTTACAAGCATGTAATAATCTTACAACTCAAGTTGTGTACTATACTTTTTCTACCATTATTTTGTTTATAAAAATAAAAATTAAATTACCAATATATTTACACTGACAGTTTAATAATTTTTAATCTGTCAAAATAACGTTACCATGGAAACGTTAATTCGTTTCCATGGTAACTCGACCAACTGACTTACGAGGCTTATGTGATATTACACATTTTTATAAAACTGAAGCGTAATTTTTTTTATTACGTGCTAGTCATTACGTGTCAGTATCAGTTATGATGCATTTACTTAGCATCCAAATAGTAGGTAATATACAATTTACTAGTAAGAGAGTAGAAAAAGTATATTATATACTTACCGCAATTATATTAAAGTAGGGAAAATTTTTGTATTGACAGTAAATAAATAAGTTCTTAAAAAATGCTTTACACTATCAATACACGACCTAACGATTAACAAATCAACAAACCAAAAAGACAGTGTTGCACAATAACTACTGTGACTCTTTATGCAACAAACGACGGAGCAGAAAAACAAAGTGCGTGCCTGGTAGCCCAACAGACATAACTAAGATAGTTCGATAATTTATGGCCAATAGGAAGGGTCTTGTCACGTGCAGACTCTCAAATATCACGCGGTGACTTGTGTTTATTCTGCCCGTAACTTGAAGTTGAATTTAGCTACTATAAGTAGTTACTTAATGGTACATGTCATATACTGTATTCTGCAGTGCCTTTTTGACCCCTTACATAGATCTGTTGTCTTTTTTTCGGACAGGTGTACTTTTGCCAGGCTTTGAAAGAATATGATTATTTTCTTTCCCTGTAATAATTGTACATACTTTCCGTCGTAATATTTTTAATGCATCAGTTACTGTCTTAAATATAGAATTGTTCAATGCTATGTATTTTACATACATTTTAATATGTTACCCGTTGAAAACAATGAAACGGCTCCTAAGGCCCTCCATGCATTTTTTCCAATTCGAAATACACCAACACCTCTAACTCAAGGTGTTGTGCTTGGGAATTTAATGGCATTACCAGGCATACTCTAAAATTAAAGTAACGATTAGTCGTTATAACAAGTGCTTGTGAAAAAATCTGTATATTCAAAGTAGGAGAAAGGGTTGAATATTTAAATGACACTAAAATAATTTATAAAAACACTACAAACGCGTCAAAACAAAACTTACAATCGCCAGTAGGTGAATCATTCACTGACCATCGTCCTTTGGCTGTTTTTGTTCGGTGTATACTGTTGTGTATCGACTAGCGGCTTAAGTTCGTTGATTTAGTTTCTATGAGTAGGAACGAAACGTAATATAAAAAAATAATTCGGGAATTATGTCATACTTGTGCAAAGATCCAGCTGATAGATTGTAATGTACAAAATATTTGATTTATATTTATTCGTGCATTATCGTTGATAAACCTTTAATTTACTATGACTATTATCGTGCATTATAGATTAAATTGAAACAATTTGTTACAGGTCCCGAAGATATTCGACGCAGTGTTCGAATGCACCCTAGAAATGATCAACAAAGACTTCGAGGAATACCCGGAGCACCGTACAAACTTCTTCTTACTCCTTCAAGCGGTTAACAACCACTGTTTCGGAGCCTTCCTCAATATCCCCCCTACGCAATTTAAGTTGGTACTCGACAGCATAATATGGGCGTTCAAGCACACCATGCGGAATGTCGCCGACATAGGATTGCAGATTTTGTTGAAGCTACTACAGAACATCGAACAGCACGAATCGGCAGCCCCAAGTTTCTACCAGACCTACCTGACTGACATCTTGCAACATATATTTTCAGTTGTGACGGACACATCTCATTCGTCCGGACTTTCTATGCACGCTACGATCTTGGCTTCCATTTTCACGTTGGTAGAATCAGGAGGCGTGAATTGCCAACTGGGACCCAGACCAGATAACGTTCTGTACATACAAGAGTTTACAGCAACTCTGTTGAAATCTGCCTTCCCACATCTTACAGATAATCAAATTAAGATCACTGTCCAGGGAATGTTCAATTTAGATCAAGATATACCTCAGTTTAAAGAACATTTGCGAGATTTCTTAGTGCAGATTAGGGTAAGTAATTTTTGTTTAGTAAAATATTTGTTGGAATCCGAAAAAAACATATTTTATTTTAGTAATTTTTAATATATTGTAGCACATCATTACATACAGAGGGTATACAGGGTGCGGCAAACCTCTGGCTTGGTTTGATTACGGCTAAACCATAGAATATATTAAGAAATGTTTCAAACAAAACTGATATATGTCAAAGATGTCCATAATTTAAAATTATTTTCGATTATACAGTGTCAGTCAGAACAACGGAATGAACCAAAGTTGTGTTTTTAAATGAAAAATAAAAATAGGTTTTATGTAAAAGTTGTTCTAGTGTAATGTTGTTTTTAAATAATTTAATATCTTTGAGATACAGCCATAAAATATACAGTACAGTCTAATGTTTTTTTAAATAAAACCTCCTCTATAATAATAGTATGTTTTGTACAAAATGTTACAACCTTGCTTTTGGTATCAGGTTGTACGTACCTAGCATGTTTCCTTTTGTAGATATTTAGAGGAGAGCTTTGTTTTTCCAGATTTTTTATGAATGAATTTTGTGTTCCTATTGAAATATATCAAACAAAAATTATAAAAATTATTTTATAAACCTAAATCAAAATATCAAAGATTAAAAAAACGTATGCTAGTAAAAATTAGTTGAATTTGTTAACTCATCGTGTTACAAAATATTTACCATGTTAATAAATGTAATCAATCTCAATAAATAAATTAATAAATAAACAACCAATTTTAAAATCTACCCTAGTAATTAAATAAATGAGCAAATAAATGAATTTATCATCGCATTTAAGGAAATGTAGGTAATAAAGTAATTAATGCAACTAATAAAAATTATTTGCAATATTTTTCTGAAAGGTATTGAAATATGGGATAATTTTAAACGAATTGAAATTTCAATTACACTGGGGAACACATTTTTTGTTGAGTTAGATCTGACACTTGTTTTTCACTAATTTGGGTCGTCTGAATCTGAGAATAACCTCAGATCTTGTCTGTCACGTTAACTTTTTAAACGACAGGGTATCCTAAAAAATCATGCATATAAAAGAACATAAAATAAAACGTACCAAATCTACAGTTCGGTACGCTCACCCTGCTCATCACCGCACCAAGATTGTCCGGGAAATTAGCAAGGTGGCTATGTCAAAAATGCACTTTAATGCTTATGTTACACCCTAGCTTTTGGAAGCTATCCAAGAGTTGCTGGACAATGTCTGCGTAATTCAATGCTCGTGTATTTCCAAGAAAGTTTTCTTTTCGACTTCTGATATTGTTACCACGAAATGTTCATCTGTAAGAAGCTGCCGAATCTGTGGACCATCAAAAATACCGGCCTTTATTTTTTCAAATGACAGGCTAGGAAATTTCGATACGAGATACTTGAAACAGTCTCCTTCAGTTGGCAAAACTTTAACAAATTGCTTCATGAGACCTAATTTTATATGCAGAGGTGGAAATATAATCTATCTGTCCACAAGTGGCTGATGTACAATGTTTGGATCACCAGGTCACAGGTCCGGTCTTGGCGGCCAATTCGACTGCACCTAATGTTGCGCACGAGCTCTGCTGTCCCACATATACAGAAAGCAGGGATACTTTGTGTATCCACTATCTATAAACAGTCGCCAGTCAGTTGCGTTATAGTTTGAAGTTCCCGATTCTTCCATTAAACCACTTACATTATGGCAAACACAAATCCACCATCACTTTGAAAATATTGCAGAAATGCCCTTTCTCGTGTTCGAAAAAAGGCTACCTTGGCTCCCTTTTCAAGCAAGTTTTTCTCATTGAGTCGTGATGCTAAGAGCTCTGAAACTTTTTTGGATAGTCTCAAATCTCGTACCAAAGCATTTAGCTCTTGCTGCTCGAATCCCTTCTTCGTATGGAGTCATGTTCAATTTCGAAATTTTCATCGTTGGAGTCGCTTTCATCTACACCATATCCGTATTCCGCTTCTTCCAAAAAGGGAAATTCATTAAAAACTGGCACGGGGATTTCGGCGGAATGCGGCACTGGGCGTATAGCTGACGGTAAACTAGGATACTCTATCTTACATTTGTTTTTCTTGTTATATCCTGATGTTTTTACTATACAAAAGTAACAATCACTTGAATGATCTTTGGGCTCGCGCCAAATCATAGGTATACCAAATGGAAGTTTAGCACCATTTAGAACCATTTTAAATAATTTTAAACTGTTTGTCCTTGTTTTAGTGTAGTGTTTTGTACAATTTTATGTTAAAATTCATGTTTATCACATTCTATGCTTGCTGGATAGCCCAAATTTGACGAAGTGCCCCTGAAGATGCTGTATTAAGCGAAAGTACTTGGGCAAGATTTAATTGTTAAAATTGTGCTCGATATTTGCCTTTCATTTTCAAAGTTCTTATTTTTGTATTACGAGATATATTTTTGGCCTTAAGGCTGTTTTATCGGTGCACCAAAATTTTTTCTCTGTTATTTACCGACGAAATGTCTCGAAATTTGGACATGTTATACGAAAATATGTTGCCTTTAAACTGATGGTTTTACTTTTTTTATTTTTTTGAATTTTCTGTTGAAAAATTGGATTATACTGTTTAACGTTCTATTATAACCAAACTTTTCACGCCCATCAGTTGAAAGAGTTTTTTTTTTCTGTAATCGTTGATTCTTTTTTCACCTTTCTATGTCCAGTAATAATCGAGAAAAGCGTATTCAAACTTTGAAGAAAATTGCTAAAAAATACTGAAATCTAATAGTGAAACGTGTTCCTCATCATTGTCGCTGAGCTTGTTCGTTATCGCATTAGTGACGTCAAATCTCATGAGCGTACGGTACGGTCTTATTTTTATTTCTCTATGGGTACGGTCAGTTAGTTCGCTTGAATTAGAATCCATTTTAGTTCTTTCATTCTTGTATTTTCTTTATCAACTTGCTTAGTTTTTACAGTTTACAGTATTCTTATTTATTTTGAAAACATTGAAATTATTTAGTTTACGTGTATGTTAAGTAATATATTATTAGTTTAGTGGTATAAGTTAAAAGTTCTTTAGTTTACGCGTATTTTTAAGTATTACATTAGGTTAGTGATATAAGTTATAAGAGACAAGATAAAAAATGAGTCCCAGTAAACGTCCTATATATATCTATTCAAGGTTTGAATAATCATTCTCCATTTTCATGCAACTTTTCTAATATGGAGGTTATCAAAGAAAAAATGGACGGATTGATAAGTACATTGACTTTTAAATGTCAAATGTGGAATATTGAAAAGGAGATAGCAACATAGGATTCTGGTAACAATTCACTGAACTTGAATGGTTCTGGTTATTCAGACATACAGCAGCAGCACGCTGCATTAAATATACCTGTGATTTCCTACAGGCAGTATGCAAAACATACGGAAACAGTTGCAGATATCATCGGCCAAACACTTTGTGATTCCTTAGAAGAGGCTGGACGGGAGGAATTAGCTTTAGCCAAAGAAATTGGTGAAGTAGATTCCGACGGAAATGGGTTAATAACTGTTATAGCTGATGGTGCTTGGTCAAAAAGATCGTATAAAGTAAACTACGATGCTTCTTCAGGTGTAGTACCTGACGTTGTAAAATTTATTAGTACGCCTTTGATGGATAGGACATGTAATTAGGCGAGATGAAGATGAAACGATCAGAAAAATTTTCGACCGAAGAGGACCAGTGGGAAGACGAGCCAGAGGAAGACCAAAACTTAGGTATCAAGATAACACAGAGGATGATCTAAAATCCATCGGAGTTAAAGCATGGAGAAAGTTGCCAGAGGCAGGGGCGAATGGGAGATTGTTCTGAAGAAGCCTTTGGCTCACGACGAGCTGTAATACCACTGATATGATGAAATAACTATCCACGATTTGTTTTTATTCATCAATTGGATACTTTTCTTATGTAACTGCAACCTACAAATATATTAAAATAATGTATATTCCATTCAGAGAACATTTTCCTCGCAGTGCGTCGCCTCGAAATACTTGCCAGATAAATACATTTACTATTATGATGGTTTTGGATAAATAAAAATATTTTTTGTTTAATTTTTACTACGCTAATATCAGTTTTCTGTAACAAATATTAACAAAATATTAATTATATATTAATATTAATATAACAAAACTTAAATTTATTATAAATAAACACTATGGTGTTTTTTGCAGTCACGTTTCACAAATTTTTATTTAATACTATGTTTAGCTAAGACATATAAATTAAAAATGTGATTAATTCTTTTTAAAACATTACCTACGATAATTAATCTAAAAAAAAGTATTCCGACAAAACTAATTTGAATGGAGAATAATGCATTTATTTTAAACAACCCGTGGGCCGGCGCCACTGAATAAACATCCAAACTATTAGGAGGTCACGTAGGGTCTGACATAGCAGTGTAGAAAAGTAAGTGATACGCCCACTTCAAATCGCAGTATGCTATAACTGCGAAAACAGCCTTAATTATTTTGCTTATTGCTCCAGCACACCTGTTGCTCTTGGTCAGTCTCAGGTTGATATCAGTTTCTTCCTTACGTGTCTGATCAATAAAAGTACCTAAGTACATATCGTCGGTGCAATGCCACACCCACGAATGTGCAAAATTTCCATTTTTCAACTAAGTACACCATTAATAATGTCCCATTCATTCCTACACTCCGCCGCAACCACGAATGTAATTGAAGACTAGGAGATGGTGAGAATGAAATGCGCACTTTCACGAAAGTCAGTCTGTATTGATCATTTGCAATGCGTGCATCGCGTATGTACCACTTCGTGTTTGTGGCAGAGTAGTGATTAAGTTAAACTACGACGTGCGTATCGCGAAAGTGACACATACGTGTTTGTGGCGGTGTGGATTTTGGATTTAGTTTACATTCGTTGTATCGTTTCTACTAGACATTTCTTAGTTTTGTGTGTAAAAATGAACGCACACGGCTAAAATATTTGAAAACTTGAGACAGTCACGTCTGGATTCAGCAAAAGAAAAGAA